TACTTGCTCAATATGACCTATTTGGAAATAACACACATCTTCAACAGAGACCACCCTCTCCGCACACGGAGGCCATGCGCGGGGATCAGGCATAGGTCAGCAGTGCTGCACATGCCAGCCGGGCAGAGATTTTAGGAACCACAGTCACACTACCATTCCCTGATGTAGCTGTGCAAACAAAACAAGAGTGAACTCTGGGTCTTGCCTGGATTTCTTTCTTCTCTTTGTCGTATGTTATGATTGTTTATGTATCTGCATGTTTGTGTGTTTCTCTTGGCCTCCTCGCACCTGGCCTCTCTGTAACTCTTGCCATTGTTGGTTCTAACTTGTTCTGGTCTGTTTTCCTACCCCGGGGGTAGTATGGCTATGAGAAGAACAGGACCTTAATGTCAAAAGGACCTAACCTCAAATGCCAGTTTACTGTTCAATGCCCAGGCAACTTTCAATGAAGCCCTCAGCTCTCTGACCGCAGTTTCTGAGCTGCTCAGTAACTTCCATTTCTCCTTCTAGGCCCAGGGTGACATTGCTCTCCTAGTTCTGTTGACATCAGGCCGTGCCCTGCAAGTGGTTTGGCAAGTGGGCTGACAGGAGAAGTAGACATGTGCCGTTGCTGGGGAGAAGCCTGTCAGACGCACCTGACTGCCCTTCCCCTGAAACGTGACAGAGCCTTTATCAGTCTGTCCCTGAGTGATGGTGACATGGAGCAGAGTCCCTACCAACCCACTGGACAGAAGCATGACCATGATATTAGTGTCTATTGTTCGAAGTCATTCAGATTTTGGGGTTTTTACTGAACATGAATTGGCGCATCCAGGCTTATGTTTCCTAATACAAATAGTGAGTACGATACTCTCTGCCTCAGAGAGTCCGTGTGAGGATTCCTGACCCCCAGCAGGGGATTGAGCAGCAGTGGCTCTGCTTGCGAGGGCCCCCGCCCAGCCGCCGGTCCGCAGCGCTCGGGGACGTCTCACCAACTGCTTGCTCACTCTTGTCCACTTCACTCCACCCATAATTTTCCTTCATTTCCCCACTTCCCTTCCTTTCTTTTGTCCTCTGTGGAATACCAGCTCCATTGCTGGCAAACTCTCTAAACCTGTTTCTCCTCTTTTTCCTCCGACTGAAAACAGGACTTCAGAATCTAAAGGGCCTCATCTCTCTGAGAATCTGTAGAAATAGACCTTCAGTCTTGCTTCCCACCATCACGAGCATCCGCAGACGCTCTGGCATCTGGTCCTTCCCTCTGAGAGCTGGTAGCTCCAGGTCCCTCGTCTCTCATTGTCTAGCTGTTTGCGTCCCTCTCCTAAGGACACCAGATGGCCTCTGGCCCCACAGGAGCCTGTCCCACCTGGCACCGTAGGCATGCATCTGTGCCCTTTCCTTCCCTTCCACTCTGCAGTTTACCTCCATCAGCGCTTCCTATCCTTGCATATGTATTTTCTTCTCTTTTTTTTCCTCCTAACCATCTCCATCCCACCCTCAACATTTTACTGCAACACCAGACAGTCACAGCCCCTGAGAAGCCTCACCAGAGGACTTCTCTTCTCTTGTTCGTGGGCTGAAGGCCAGTTGTGAGGGAAAGCAATGAACTGTACAGCCCCGTGGTGACATGCTATGTTGTCTAGAACAGAAGTCATTGACCTTTCTGGAGCAGTTGGCATTAGCGTCGCCCTCCATCTCCATAACTGCCCCTCCCGTGGCCTCTGGGTCTCTTCTGGGCCACACATTACCTCTCCTCTCAGCGGCTCACCTTTCTCTCTGCTTACTCTTCATTTAACTGGAAATTCCCAGAGTTTTGTCCTTGGGACTCTTCTTTATTGCTTCATTGCTTTCTCTAGAGGAATGTCATCCACTGTTACGACTTCTCTATTTAAATGTAATGACTTTCAAATGACCTTCACCAGCACTAGCTTCTGTATAGAGCTCTAGAAGTAGACTTGCAATGTCCCATTGGATATATGGAGTGAATGTCCTGTGGACACCTGAAACCCAACCTGTCCTCAAGCAAACACCTTTTTTCCTTGGATCCCAAATCTGTACTATCCCTTCTATTCTTGATGTAGGTTAATGGCATCACCATTTACCTATCCCCCCACTTAGAAACCTTGGTGTTATTCTCACTTCCTTTTTCTCAACCCCCACATATAGTCAGCTGCCAAATCTTGCTGCTTCTAATTTTAAGACATCATTTGATTCTTTCTTCTCCAAACTGTATGCTACTGGCTTAAAATAGGCCTTCAGCATATCTTCTTAGGACTGTTATTGTAACAGCTTTGACCATAATCTGTCCCCCTGATAACATTTTTCTCCACCGATGATCTTACGGAAAACAAAGCTAACCAAGCCTTTTCTCTGCAAAAGCATCTGCTGGCTTCCTGTGCCCATGGGGTAAAATTCGAACAATGTAGTTTGGCTACAGATCTCTTAACCTCCTGGCCCCAATTTACTTCACCTGGTTTCCTTTTCTGTTTTCATGTTCTCCATGCACATTCTAGGCTCCTGCTGCCTCACATTCTCACTACTTCCAACACATAACCATGCACTTTTAGAGGCCCATACGTTTTTTTGTTCCAAGCTATTCATTTTTCTCCTCTCCATCCCCATTTGCTCGAAAAATTTCTAAATCTGTTAGAACCAAGTTTAGGCCTCACATACTCTGCAGAGCCTTCCCCAGTTCTTCAGGCTGCTGCTGTTCTGTTCCTTTTGCTCCCAGAACACTTCACATTTGCTACAGACTTTACGGTGTGGCTGTGACCCTGTTTACATATTTGTATCTCACACTAGGCTGTAAGCTTCTGATTATCAGAGAACTTGAGTAGAAGCTGTTTTAATAACTATTGGTGAGTGAATGCAATGTTGTTTCCTACCCAATGTTTGGGTATCAGTCTCTTCTTTTCTTTTCCATTCTTCCTATTACATCCCTAATAAATAATCAGACTTAGATTTCCGATAGCCCCTAGGCTGACCATCCTGAGCAGCACTGGTCAGTAATGTAACCAGCAGCCACGTGTGGCTCTTGAGCCCCTGAAACGCAGCTAGTCCAGGTTGAAATGAGCTGTAAGTGTAGAATACGCACTGAATTCTGAAGACACTATGAAAACAAGAATATAAAATATCTCACTAATAATTTTTTATATCACATGTTGAAATGATAATATTTTGGATACATTGGATTTAAAATATAATATTAAAATTAATTTCACCTGTTTTTCTATTTTTAAATTTGGCTACTAGATAATTTAAAAGTTTGTAAGTGATGTGCATTATGTTTCTATTAGGCACTGCCGTGACCCCTTCATCATCACGTAGATCATTTCTTGGTGGTAAGCCTGCCTTGTCTTTTTTCTAAATCTTTGCAGTGCTAAGCAGAATTTTCTGGGGGAAGAAAAACCACTAAAAAATGGTGTTTGTTAACTGGTCACTGCTGGATTTTCACAAAACATCCTTCCTTTTCATGTTACTATCCTGGTCGAAGGTTCTACAAATTTTGTTGTCAACTGCATGAAGGCCAGATTGCTCTGGTTCCCCAAACCTTTAATTCTGTGCCACTTGGCTTATCCAGCCTTCTCTCTCTCCTAAGCAGTGCCTCTGTCCTTCAGTCTTTTAAGCTCCTTGAAGTCTACACTTCTGTGCGTGCTGCTATTGCTGAGTAGCCCATCTAAATCAAGCCAGTCTTCAGTAGCTGGCGTTGTTGTTTTTTTTCTGTTTATGGGAAAGCACCCTGACACCCTCCTGGTTATTATTTGTCAGGGCCATGCAGCTTAAATTCTAATTTATTCACTTACTCAGCATTTTCACTGTCATCACCATTTAATTCCACAAATAATTTTGAGACTCTGTGCCAAGAACAGGGTTAGGTGAGCATGAGGGTCGCCTGTATGCAGGGCCTAAGCTTAAGAATTGACCCTGTTAAAAAGTAAACCACAGGGTCCTGCTCATTGCCTTTCTTAGCATCTGCTCCACCACAAGGAAGCCGTGTTTACTAATTACATAAGCCCCATATAAGAAATTGCTAGTAAGCCATAACATGTTAAAACACTCAAGTAGTTTTAACCCAGGTTCAAATCCCATGAGCCTGGGTTGGAGAGCTCTGGGCCCTAATCAAAAGTGACTTCTTTCCCTAAATTTTCTTTTTTCTGCATCAAAGATCACTGTTTACACAGCTTCTTGTTCAAGTGAAACGGCCCAGCATCTGGCTCCTCGGCCCCACTTTCCCCTCCTTGTGAAAGGCCTTGTTTCCCAGTCTTCTGGCCTCTGCAGTCGGACTGTTTTGGGTTTGAATAGCAACTCCTCCACCGAGTAGCTCTGGGCAAGTCACTGAACTCCTCCATGCCTCATTTTCCTCATCTGTATAACGAGGAAAACAGTATCATAGGGTTGTGATAAGGGTGAAATGAGTTAATAGTTTATGGCACAGAGTAATCACTCAAAAGTTAGCTCTGAATATATGTCGCCACCAGACTATTCTCTCCCCTGTAATGTAAAAGGCTGTTTTGCCTGTTTTACTCCACACGTGCCTCTGGCTTCTAGATAGGGCCTGTTTCAAAACACAGGTGCATAAATGTCAAACGAATAAACGAAGCCACCCAGTCACTTTGCTTTGTGCATGTCCAGTGTTGTGCCAGCGAGAGCAAACGGCAAGGGAGCAAGTGAAAGACGCCTCCACGTAGAAGGCCTTCCTTTAATGGGCTTCACTCGAGGGTCTCGGCAACCACCGCGCCTCTAAGGAGAGGAAGCCCAGCACGGGCAGCGCGCCGCCACCTCCGCCGCCGGCAGCGGGCGCGGGGCCGCGGACAGCACCCCGGAGGCCCGGCGCATGCGCAGCGCGCCCGCTCCTTCCTGCGGCGCCTCCGGAAGCCCCGACCCCGCGCCCTCCTCCCCCTCCCGCCGGCTCGGCGCTGCGTGCGGGGCCGGCGGCGAGGAGGCGGGGCACGTCGGCGCTGCCGCCGCCGCCGCTTCCCCTCCGGCTCCAGCCGCCGCCGCCGCCTGGGCAGAGACTGCCCGCGTCCCGGCGGCGCCAGGTGCGTCCGCCCCGCCCGGCCCCGCCCGCCCTCCGCCGCCGCAGCCGCCCGGCTCCCCGCGCCGCGGCCGAGATGGCGACGCGCTCCTGCCGGGAGAAGGCTCAGAAGCTGAACGAGCAGCACCAGCTCATCCTGGCCAAGCTGCTGCGGGAGGAGGACAACAAGTACTGCGCCGACTGCGAGGCCAAAGGTAGCGCGGCCGTCGGCGAGCCGGCCGGGCCTCCTGCGGGCCGGTGACCTTCCCGAGCGGGCGCCTCGGGGG